GCTCGAGGGGATCCAAATCAAATCAATTCGGATTCCCCCAGCTACAGTTTCGGTCCCTCCGGTTGGACGAGTGGTCATCGTGTACCAAAACTTGGGCAATTGGTCTGCTTCTTATTACAGAGCGAAGAACTACTCTCTGATCACACCAATCATTGGGTTGCTAGCTTACGATGATTATGGCAATAGTTCCGGAAACAAGGTAGATTTCAATGTCGTCAAAGGTGATCCCATCATCGTTTCGTTCCCCAAAGTCAATTTAAACTCAACCAAGGCGAAATGTATTTCATTTGGCTCTACGGGCTCGCAAAGTCTCTACAATGTCGGTGCGAATAATGAGTGTTCGATACAAAATGGAGGTCATTTTGCTATTGTGGTACCGGAAGAGGAGGTTATAGTACATGAGCCGGCAATGAAGAAGAGGAGGATATGGGTTATTGCATCGGGGAGCGTTGCTGGTTTGATTTTGTTGTGTTTAGTTGGAGTTGTGATTGTGAGGTTTATGAAGAGGAAGAGAATGGAGAGGATGAGCAGGAGAGCGGAGGAAGGAGAGGTATTGGAGACAGTTTGGGTGAGTGGGAGCAAAATGCCTTCGGCTTCAATAAGTAGGACTCAACCGGTTCCTGAGAATGGAAGTGCGCCTTAAGAGGTGATTACTTATGTTCTTTCTTGTAAATGAATGAAGAGAGATTGATGAGAGATGGGTTCTTTTGGTCGATAGATAGTTTTTCTTTTGATTTTGCTGAGAGTATTTAACTGTAGGGAATAATGCAAGTCTGCTTGATGATTTCTTGGAGTGGATCTTTTAATAAGATGAAAAACTAAGGAGAAAAATGCTTTTGGCTGAAAAACATGACGAAAAAGATCAAATGCGATCAATAATAAAAATGACGAGAAATATCAATATGACCAATAATGAAGGGGAACTTGGTGAAATATCAATATGATCAATAATGAAGGGGACCTTGGTGCAACGATAGGAGTTGTTGTTTGTGATCTGGGGGTCATGGGTTCAAGTCATGAAGACAACCTCCCGTAAAAGTGCAAAGCAAGACTGTCTACGGTACACTTAAACTGGTCAGGCCCCTTTCCCCACCCCGCACATTCGTGCACCAGGCTGCCCCTCGATCAACATGATCAACAATGCTTAAAACTTCTTCTCTGTCTGTGAACTCTCAGAAAATCAAGAACCAAGCTTTCGACATAATGCTAGAATTTTATCTTCTCCCTTGTCAATCTTCAATAAACAACATTGATCCAAAGCGACACAACAATCATTTGATTCATTGACACCGAAAGCAGATGGCTCAGATAAACATGCACGAGAACTACATCGGATTAAGTTCACGTTGGCTTCTAGATTCATTTTGAGCCATTAATATATCCACTCGTTTCTACTTCTCAAAATCAACTTTCAATTTCATTTTAGGGCCCAAAAAAAAAAAAACCCTACCATAACACAAACTTTATTCTGGGCTCATTAGTTCTTCCGTTCCATCAAAAATTCTTTTCATACCAGTACTTTACTAATTCATCTTCATAGTAAGACTTAATAAAGTCTTAAACAACATCCAAATTCTTATTTAGTACCTAGACTGCCAGTCAAAAACAATGAGATCTGTCCAAATCCATATTTCATATTATGCTAATTATTAACTACCACCCTTCAATGAATCTGAGATATGGAGCAGTACAACACTACAAGAACAAGTTATAACTAAGCAAATAACAAATAGATTTGAATAGGAAACTCCAGCCAAGCTTTGCTTATCTGTAGAAATTGGTGCAGGGCTGTGGACCTTTCCCAATAACTCCCAGAGTCGAGACATCTTCAACATCAAGATTTCAGGTCTCCAATATAGAATTCATCAACCATGTCAAAGACCCTAGTCGCATGTTGTGGCCTGCAGGTTCCAAATAAGGAAATAGAAAACAACTGGGACAGTTAAAAGAGTCGCAATTTAAGGTGAGATAGACACAGAAAAAAAAAATCAAACTACTTATAGATACATTCATACTGGGAAACAAACATATAGATTCAAGTCTTTTATGTGTGTATCAAATAAAGAGTACAGAAAATGTTGCCAAGTGATTCTGATTTATATATAGCTCAGGATCAATTATTTTACAAAATCTTTGAATTTCATGTTTATCTCTCTCTCTTATTTCTTCATACTAATTTTTATACACGTGCAATGCACGTGGTTAAATATCATGATTAAGTATATTTGGTTTATTTCTTACTAAAATTTGTTCATCGGTTCCATTTTGATGGTTTTTGCTTACTTATATCTCTAAACTTTAGCATTGTGATTATTTATTTTCTTTAATGTTTATTTAAATGGCTACACCCAGTTTAAATTTTTATGTTGATAATTAAATTGATAGGAAATAATTGTAATCCGAAATTAATTTGAATTATCATGTCATTGAGACCAACATGAAACCATGTTTGACCTGAGAAAGTATAGTGTTGCAAAAGTAAAAAATACTTCAAAAAATAGTGTTCTAAAAGGAAAATAAATAATTAAAGCTAATAAGACAAGATGATTGGTTAAAAGTAGGCTACAATGACACAAAATATAATATGTAGTTTGTTCTTAATCCTTGATAGACTTTAAAAAATTATAAATTAAAAATTAGTGCTAACTCTATTACACTTTTATATAATAAAAACATCCACATAAGCAGATAAAAGTACTAAAAAAGTTTATGACAATCTCTTCTAAAGATTCCTAATTACTCAAAAAAAACTATTCTATAAAATATTCAGAAAATAGTGCATTTCATTCCTTCTATTTTATTTTTTTATTGAGACGCTATCAATCAATCTTTATCTTTTTTTATAAAATTAGACTACTTTTAGATGTCGAAAAAGGATAGTAAAATCATAAATTACAAGTTAAATTTATATATCTTAATGAAAAAATATCAAACAACTACTCTTTTTTTGCTATGTTTTGAAATTTAGTGCCTTTTTTGTGATTTTGAATTTTTAAGACCGTGTTTTGTAAATTTTAAAACTTTGAGAGTGTTTCTTTCTTTAAAAAAAAATAAATTTTAAGTTGGATGCTTGTAATTCTATGTTTCATGTGGTGGTGGTAAGTTTTTAAATGTCATGACATTTCTTGCTACTCTGAATTTTGAAGGTATTTTTTGCAATCATTGAAATTTTGGATTGTTTGTTACAAAATTTAAATTTTTAGCGGTCTGCTGATAATTTTGAGATTTGATGTATTGGTTATGAGTTTTTAAAATTTAGGGTTTTTCGTTATTCTTAAATTTTGAAGGAGTTTTTTGTAATTTTTATAATTTTGAGGTTATTTTTTACAAATTTTAAATTTTTAATACCTGATGGTAATCCTTTGAATTCATCTTTGTTGTTTGTAAGTTTTGAAATTTTAGAATTTCAGGGTGTTTTTTTATTATTTGAACTTTTGATGGTGTTTTTAAAATATTGTGGGTGTTAATTGCAAATTTTAAATTCTTCAATGGCTGCTATTGATTTTTAAATTACATATTAGTTGTTTTAAGTTTTGAAACATCTGGATGTTTTATGTAATTTTAAACTTTTAAGGGTGTTTCGTGTAATTTTTGAAACGTTGGGTTTTTTGTAATACTTCATATATTATAGCAATTAGTTATTTACATTAACAAACTGATACCATGGAGCTATCTTATGTATTTTATTAATATTATTTTTTAAATTATTGACCTGTAAGTAGTTCACATTGGATTAGAATATGATTATGATGGATTAAAATTTAAATAAAATATTCAAAATAGTCAAGGGTAATAATGACCATAAAAAGATTTATCCAAACTCGTACTTTTAAAGGAAGTATGATATGATTAGTTCTTGTGCACGTGGTCAAATATGAAAATAATTTAATTTTTTATTTATTTCATTACTATAAATAGGCTAGATTCATTTTGAATTAATCTGTAAAATTAGATTATTAGATTTGCTTTAATTTTTATTTAAACATTATAAAAAAAATCGATGTAATGGATTTTTGTGCTAAACTGGGATCAATATACTTAATTGGGATATCTTAATTGATTCCCTAAGAAAAAATATCAATTGACACAAAAATATGGTCAAGCAGAATAGTAAAAGAAAACAAGTTAAATTGATGTTACATGTCATATTCCAAACTCTACTAATCCCAAGTCATAATATGGAGTCAAGCATGAATAACAATATCATTATGAACTATAGTTCTAGTAATAAAGAAACCATATTTTTTATTGCATTGGAAACAGAATTGCGCAACACTTTGAGACATTATAAACTTATGTTTTATACAAGCTCATGTTTTATACTAAACAATCTCAAAATCAAAAATAAAAAAGAAGTACGATAAACATGTCATGTGTTCATGTGTATATATATATATATATATATATATATATATATATATATATATGAGATCTCAGCCTACATCATTTGATAGACCTAAAAAAAACTAAAGATTAATGGTAACTATAGTATAAGTTTATATGATAAAAGTAATCACATAAGTATACAAAATTACTAAAATTTTTGCATGAAAATCCCTTATAAAAATTCCTAACTCTACTCAAAAAATTAAGTTATAATATGAAATGTTCAAAAATATTATCCTTTATTCATTTTGTTTCATATTTTAGTTGAGTCGAGATCAATCTTTCTCCACCTTTATATTTTTTTCTTATTTTTATTTATTTACTATACCATGGTTGCGGAAAAGTTTATAATTACCATAATAAAAATAATATTAATAGAACTAATATGTAGGACCAAGGGACTGATGGAGTAATGGTAGCTTATTAGGACAGTGGATGTACCTTAAGTAAGTCTGCAATAATTCATGCTAATAGATCATAGTATTTACGGACATTTCATCATGAGAATGGAGTTTCAGAATCTAAAGAGTGAAGGATTGTCTTAAAAAATAAATAATAACAATAACAACAACAATGAGCAATGCAGATAGTTAGACAAAATAGCGTATATTTTTATGAAAATTCAATAGTAAAAAACAAACAACTACAATCATCATCACAATTGAAATATGAAAATTATTGATATTCTTTACTAACCTAATACTCGTAATTGTGGAATAAATCTTTTTGAGTACGAAATTGTTTAGAGAACTATCTGTAATTTCTATATTTTTAGCATACTGTTAGTTTTGAAATTCTCAGGATTTTTTGTAAAATTTGTATTATGAGGGGTTTTTTTGCAGATTACATATTTCTTCTTCTATATTAGAATCCTGAAACCTACAGTGAAATTTACCCATATATATACAACCAGAAATTAAGTCGAAAATCATGTCCAAAGCTCTTAGTGATACATGCACACATAATTGCTAGTTAGACATTCAAGAGAGAAGATTCTATAAGTTCTAAAATGCAATATATATGATAACAATATGTGAAATTAGGTGGACAGATATGCTAATAATTTGTATTTTTAATTTAATAATCCAAAGAGTGAAGGATTCTCTTAAAAAAATAAATAACAACAACAACAATAACAATAACAATGAGCAATGCACATAGTTAGACAAAATAGCATATATTTTCATGAAAATTCAATAGTAAACGACCAGCTATAATCATTATCACAATTGAAATATAAAAATTGTTGATATTCTTTACTAACCTGATACTCGTAATTATGGAATAAATCTTGAGTACGAAATTATTTAGAGGAGTATTTGTAGTTCTTATATTTTTAGCATAATGTTAGGTTTGAAATTCTCAAGGTTTTTTGTAAAATTTATATTATAACGACGTTATTTGCAGATTACATATTTCCACTTCTATATTGGAACAGCGAAGTTTACCCAGATATATACAGCCAGAAATTAAGTCAAAAATCATGCCTATGTTAAGTAAAAACTCATTATCATCAAATGATTACATTTAAAGTTAAAAATTAGAATTAAACCATACTTAATACAATTAAAATTAAATTTATAACAATAATATAATCTAGTTGGTTCTAAACTTATATATTCCAAACTTTATTCTAATCTATAATTGCTTTAGAAATATAATCATTATAAAATGATTAAATTAGAAATACAAATTAATAGCATAAATTTGATAATAGGCATTTATAGAAAATTATCAAAACTAAAAGGACAGAAGAGTTATGTAGCATGGATTAGTATATAATCATTTTATAATTAATGTAATTGTGAATTAATCTTTATGGTGAACCTTTTTTGCACTTGGTTATGATCTGTGAATAGATTAAAGTTGTTTTGTTGGTGTCGAACACTTTCTTGCTTTAAGTGCTTTGATATTTTGAAATTTATTGGTTTTTCTTATGAAAATAGAATTCTAAGATAATTTAAAACGCAATTTCTTTTCTACCTAGAGTTTAAATATGATTGGATGGACTCAAAACATATAAACTCAGGCTGGTGCTAAAGTATACAACCAAACTTTAATATGTAAGTTATCATAGTAATTGCTATTAATTTTATCATGCTAGTAATTTATCATGCAATTTCAAAATCTTGTCACTCTATGAGAACACACAAATATCTTCTAGAAAATCTAATTTCTATGAAGGCAACAATGAAAATAATATAGAGAGCGCTAACAAAAATAGATTCTAAAAGAACAAGAGAAATTGCTGAAAAAATGACAAATATCACCATTGAATCAAATAAACAATATTACTAAAGAAAAACAATAAAAAAAATAGGAAATACCTCTTGAAGAGACAAAATTGCTATAAAAAATTATGTAATTCTTAGTTTATATATAGGCATGAGATGTTGCACGTGAGATGATAACAATTACAAATAGAATAAATAGTTAAATAGAGTTCTATTGAGTTGGTAATTGGATAGGATAAGATAGCAAATTGAACTCGAAGTTATTATTCAATAGAGTTCTA